GGTCAACTTCTGGTGGAAGTAGATCATGAAATCACAACGGAGGGTGTAGAGGTGTTTGTTTAAAAATCTTTAGGTCTTCCAGTATGATTTTGATTACAAAATCACACTGGAGGACCTAGAGATTCTTAAAGAGTTCATTTTATTCAAATCCATCAATAATCAAACCTGCAAAGTCAGACCTGGAAATGTGGTGAGCCAATGGTAACTGGAGCCTTACATCAATTGAACTTTAATGGAGCTATCCAAAGTACTGAAGGAGCTATCCAAAGGTGCTTTACAAAAGTGCATCATGGAGAACTTCCTTGAAGTCCAGACTAAAACCAGAGCAGACCTGTCTTTCCATTAAAAGAGAAGTCACCAGTTACCATTGATCCACGAAAACATATAAAGTGGACTATGGTGAGTGTCCCCCAATAAAAATCCAGAGAGGGGGAAACAATTATTTCAAATTTCTAAAGCATATGAGATGATCATAGGGATATTTCATCAATATCATCAACTGCTATGTACTTCATAACTTGTGTCATCAACCTTGGTTATGAATAGGGTTGGAAGCACACATTTGCTGCCCAAGAAAAAAGCACAAGATAGCATCTGAGTCATTAATTGCTGACTTAACTGGCAGCTGAAGTTTATTTCATCAATGAGGACGTAATTTCTCATCATACTAGAGATCAGCAGGTGAATTTAGGAGGTACAGATGATCTGCAGAAGACGGTGTGTGGCATTCATAACTTAGTCCTTTGAAAGAGTAAAACTGACAGGGGGTTGGGAACTGCTTTCCCTCAACATCTGCCATGTGAGATGATTATTCACGGACCAACATTATGTATGAATTTGCAAACCGAACTGCACTGAAAACCACTGTTTTTTTAGTTGAGGAGATAGAAAATTATACTCTAGATCAGTGGTTCTCAACCTGTGGGTCCCCAGGCATTTTGGCCTACAACTCCCAGAAATCCCAGCCAGTTTACCAGTAGTTAGGATTTCTGGGAGTTGAAGGGCAAAACATCTGGGGACCCACAGGTTGAGAACTATTGCTCTAGATTTTAATACTAATTAGGTCTGGATTTATGTACTACTTCTATCTAAGCTAAAAATTACTGCATTGTCTGCAAATTCTCTTTAACATTTAACCACAAGAAAGAAATGAAGGTCTCAAAATCATATTGATGTAGTTTTAAATCAAGGAGATCAAGTACTCAATGTATCAGGATACAGTCATAATGCCATTTCGAAAGTTATAACCTAGAAGTTGATTGACCACCCTTCTCCAATTTGGCACCCCCTAGATGTGCTGAGGATACCTCCACTCTGAGAATAATCAAATTTGGAAAGTGTCAGATCAGGGAAGGTTGTAGGAAATTATACAAAGATGTATAAATCCAACTAGGGTAGAACTAATGAATCAAGGGGATTAATGTACATGTTATTTTCAAGCAACTGATTCAATTGATCTACTTTAGATGGAACTAGTAAATGGACTGTGGTCTCCAAAGGTCTTCTAAGTTCTATCATTCTAATTTTAATGTATTAAATTCTTCTCTGGCACAGTTATCACAAAGAAAATAAATAATGGTCTGACTCCACTGCAAAAGTATAGTTTGACAACACCAGAAAGCTTGGTTGCTTCCCATGTCATCTGCACCACCACCATCAAAGAGGCCACAGGAAGCAGTCACATGATCAAAGCAACTTATCTAATGAATGCCTGCTGTTCTACACTGCAGTTAGAGATTCATAACCTAGTGTTATGATCTGGTAATCAGTCCATGTATTCATGATTATGGAAGTATCATCAGAAACACTCCCCAAACTTACCTTAACAGCTAGCAGCCTCATCTAATGGTGAATGTTTGTTCTGCTGGTGATCAGGGAGCAACAGAATGATCTTTCCAACCCTCTATTACCAACAATCTCCAACACAACAACTGCAAGAAGGACCCCCCCCCCCATCACAACTTGTCATCACATCGGAGAAAAGTCAGAAATGTCATCTTGTTGTGCCCCTATTACCAGCAGAATAAACCTCTAATACTTGATATGGCTTCTTACTGTTAAGACAGGCTTGGAGAATGAAGTTGGGAGCTTGCATGTAGTTACACATTTATAGCTCTGTCCATGATGTAGGGTCATGATAATTATTCCTACCCATTATCAGTGCAAAGTTATTTGTGCACATTACCAGTGCTTAGGAGTCTAATGAGGGAAAGCATTTTTAAGGGGTGGTTTTCTTCTGGAAAGAGCAGGAATAAACCTGGCTCAGATATCCCCCCTCCACTATGGCAGATAATGTCCTCAGTAGGAAATGTACATAGACAAGCTAAGGACAAAAACATTATAAAATAACAAGACATGTAATGTAACAGGAAAGCAAGCGAGAAATTGTCAGATACTCTGAAAAAGATCCATGGAACGCAGAGATGATTATCAAAAGTACTCACTCATCCACTTGATTTTGCCTCCTCTTGGCTTTGTGTAGCCAACTGGTGCATAACAAGGATGAAGTTTACTTATAGACAGTGAGAAAAAAGTATACATGGACTAACATAGATCACATTTTACTTTGAAAAGAGACATCACAAATGACTCCTGGTGTTTTTTTTTTTACAGCCAACCAATACAAAATGGAGCACGAAACATATTATGAATCAGGTGTCTCCATAAGTACGATTCATAAAGTGGTTTATACAAAACCCAAATAGGATGCTACAAAGAAAAACATCCTATTCTTTCACCCACTCACATCTCAGCATTGAGCTGCTTCAAGCAGTTTGTTTTTCCTACATGGGTACATCAATGCATATCTTCATGTAAGAAGACTATGCACATGTTTCGTATGCATGTTGAGGAGCTGTGACTGGCAATGAGACTTCTAAGACACATACACAAAAATCCAGAAAAAGGCCAAGATCCTGTTCAGCATGTGATTAGCATAAATATATGCTTATGCAATTGTGCTAGGCTGCACCATTGTACAAGTGAATGTGTACAATGTGTACAGTCAGGAACCCCTAACTCAAAATCCCTGATTATTTAGAATCAGGGACACATCTTTGTTAATGTACATATATAAGGACACTTGGGGAAAGTGCAAATGTTGTGCACATATTGTGGTCACAACAGTGCATATGGGATGTGCTACTGGCATAACTATAACAACGTACGTACACAACAGGATTCTGGCCATGTCTCCCATCTTCACACATGATGATGAATACACAAATATACTTTTCAACCCAACCCATGTAGGAAAGCTGTCAGATGTGATGTTACCCAAACACAAGACTTTTGAAATTTCTGTATATATAATGCAGCATTGGAAATGTGTAAGAAGAAATTGAGAGGCAATATTTTCAAGGAGTAGGGCACTATTAGTAACTTTTAATTATTTGAATTCATTTAATTGTTCACACATAGTTTGAATATTCCATAAGGAAAGCTTGGCATGGCCTATTGATAATCACAGACTATTTTAAAACAAATCAACCAATTTTTACAAAATAAGGGAACTGTATAAATAAGAAGAAAATACATTTGGAAATAGAACGCAGATGTAGTTTTAAACACTGTGTAGTTTAAAAATCCCATGACTACTTAGATGGGAGTAAGCCCACTGAAGACAATGGGTCTTTACTGTTGAGTAGACAAATATAAAATTACACTGCATTAAATTTTGACATGTGTTCCAAACTGGTGATCAGCTCAGAAGGCTTCAGCTTTTACACATTTGTTGTTGGGCATCATTTAAGTGGTTTCTGATTTATGGCAACACTTAGGTGACCATATCACAGGATTGTCTTGGCAAGGTTTGTTTTAGGGAGGAGGGGAGCTGCCTTTGCCTACTTCTGAAGTTGAGAGAATATGAGTTATATCATTTACGCCCCCAGTATCATGCACAGCTACAGCAATACGGGAGCTGCCATGCCACCTAAGACCCAGGAAGGAAACATTCAACCTATGGCTATGGCCAGTCATTCAAATGTTGTAAGCACAGGGGCATATGGCATAACCTTATCCATTCCATAAGTAACTTCATATGCATACAAAGAAGTTCTGAAATGGAAAGGTAGCTGCATCTGGCTACAGTGCGTGTCCTCCTTTCTCTCCGTGCCTGTAATATTCATGCTGGAAGAGGCTCCTGTGTGCGTGTTTGGTTCACGTACAGCCTACACCCACTTTGAATCTTGCCACAGAGAGCCAGAGGCAAACCTGAGAAGGGAAATGGAAGGAAATAAGAGCACTTGTGTTTTAGAGCCACATAATGTATTCACAAAATGACACACTCCTAGAAGGAATGTTGCGTACACTTTCACCAACATTTGGTCATGAATGTGCATTCATATATACTGTACGATGTTAGTTATGGACAACATGAATCACAATTGACAGTTCAAATCAATTTTAGATACTGTACTGGTAACTGACATATGCACACTGTAGTTCCATAAATCATTTGACTCTGAACATCTGCCATATATTTGCTTTTTGAAAATTTCCCAAGCTAATGCATAAAATGTTGAATGCATGGTGCATATGTGATCTTTTTCTCTCTCTTTGGATATTTGTTCAGATTATTTTGTGGTAACATACTTTATATATCATTATAATATTGTAAGCTTCATTGTCTGGGAAGGTAACATGTAAATACATTTATAAATAAATAAATGTATTTGATTTTTTAAAAAAATATTTCAAAGAAGATTATCTAAGGAACAAAGTTGAAGATGGTTTTCTAAAGCTAAAAACCCATCACAGGCAGCACTAATGGTTGAAAAATGGCAATATTTTGTTTAAACCCACACACAGAGTGTGATTTGTGATGGGAAGCCGCTCTACTTAAATAGCTCCCATCCTATATATATTTTTAGATGTCATGGTTAATTCTAGAAACAAACAAACAAAAATCTTACTGAAGGTCTGTCTCCAAGAATGGAGATCAATCCTCCATAGATCAACATATGTCAGCTTCCTCCTTTGAATCCTACCATTCTGCCCACCTGTGATTTCATAGTAAGGAGGGGCTTTTCCTCGGCAGACTCCTCCCTCGGTATCTCCTTCATCACCATTGCAACAGCCTTATCTGCCGCCCTAGAGCCTTTCCCCTATAACAGTGAAATCAACAATGACTTGGGTCAGGAGGAAACTTTGTGCACTGTTACAGATAGAGAAATACTTGAATAGTATTGTTATCATTATTGCAAACCCCTCCCTCCAAAAATCAAACCAAAAAAATCAGTCCAGAAATCAAACTAAGGTGTTAATAAACAGTAGAAATAATTGTTATGTCACTGAAAAGAAAACTACACATTTGTATATGTGGTCACAAAACAAATACATCGGCTAAGATGTTACAGGTTGAATCCCCCTGATCCGATATTTGTACTTATTCATGGATTTGATTAATATGGCCTCTCCTGCAATCTCTAGGTCCTCCAGTACCATTTCAGCCAAAGTTGGCCATAGAGTTCCACTGGAAGATCTAGAGATTCTGTGAATGATCAAATCTGCAAAAGTTAAACACACAAATGGGGAAGGCCAACTGTATTTCTGAATTCCAGATAAGAGAGGCTTCTCCTTTAATTGACACTCATGATGCCCAATGCTAGACTCTTACTTCATAATTGCCTTTTAAGGTTATAGAATCATAGAGTTGGAAGAGACCTTGTGGGCCATCTCCAACTTCCTGCGAAGAAGCAGAAAAATTGCATTCAAGTCACAATATCAGAAGAGCAAGAGTATTTTCCTCACCTCATTTCTCTCTCAACATATGATTCTGTGCTTATGGTTATTTAAATGCAGCACCTTAAAAAATCCAATCAGATGATGGTCTCTTTCTCAGAATTAGCAATAGCACTACTTAGCACAACGTAATGACTATGAGGAAAGTGCAAATCAGAAAGGTGCACCTCAACCTCATTTGGCTGTGGGTGGCTTTGGACATGATACACCACTTGTTTTAAGCAACTGACCAACCTTATCTATAAGATCATAATATTGACCTATTGTACATTATGATTATCCTGATCCTGATCTACTGTACAGGATAGATATTTGTAAAAATAAAATGTGTATCACGAGCTTTGAATTTTAGTATGACCCCATATCTGCATACATCTAATAAAATATGTCTTCTAGGGATTTCCTAGGTCCTTGAGGCCTGGTATGCTTCCATTTGACGATATTAGAGCCGCCATGGAAGACCTAGAAAATCCCTTCAGAGGCTTCTAGATACTCCAGAGCAACTCTGTTATAAGTTCCAATGCAAGTTGTTCATTTCAAGAGATCTGTTATTAAGTACAATTTCCCATTTCTATGGTAAGTTCAGGAATGTATCTCCTGCAGATATGAGGTCCATATTACTGATTTAGTTGGTAAGACTTTATATTGATGCTAAAGTCATAGGATTGGGCACCAAGTGTGATATTAATTAAACCAGAAATTAGTCCACTGATATGTAGAAACTTTCCTAGTCATCAAAGGCAAGAGACATCAAGCCAAACTCTTTGATAGTTTGTAGTCTTGGGAGTGAATGCAGAGTCTCTAACAATTTGTTAACATGGTCATGAATGTCATCAGGTAGCTGCTTTCTCCCACTGCCTCCTGTTCTTGGGAGAGAAAAAATGTAATTCAGTCTCATGCAAAACCATCTTTATATGGAAAGATTCAAATAGGCTATCAAACATCAAGAGAATGGCGTTGTGAACCAAAAATTCCATTTATTTCCTACCATTACAAAAACTGCCAATTGGAGCATTGTTGTAGTTCAAAACTTTCCTTTCAACTTGAGTTGTTAAAAATAAATATATAACCGTTGGTGAGAAATTAAACATGTTGAAATAAATTTAAAGAAAAATTTCACCACATGTGAAAGGAAAATGAAAAAAAATCATATTTATTTGAGAAGTTTCTTCTCAGTCCTCCCAAAGAGACAAAAACAAAGCACATTAAAATGTAAGCTGCCTGAGGAAAAAAGCAATAAAAGAAATAGATTTTTTTAAAATTAAGGATCCTGAAGAACTGGTTTGGAAAAGATCCAGATTCTCAGGAGAAAAAAGGTTTCTACAAATTCCCAATGCAAGAAGAAGTCATAGCATGAACGTAATAGGTTTTTTAAAATGTCTCTTTTAAAGAATTATTCTTTTCTTTAAAAGCTAAAGAGCAATTCTGTCAATTCTGACAACAACTTCCGTGATTCTGTTGTCTGTGATTTCTAGATATATATATTTAGAGGAGCAACTAGCGTACATACAGCTGAATCTTTGTATATTGAATCAGTTCTGATGTAACATTCCTGCTTTTTTATTTTTGTTGGTAGAAATAGAGTAAGGCACTCAGCCAAAATCAGTTTCTGTATGTGTGTCTTGCCAAATAATTTGGAGATGTAGTGGTGTTTCCCTCACTGACAATACACTGACAATATTCATACCAGTGAAGACTGATTTTATACCAGACTCTGGGAAACCTACTTCATAGACCGAATGGAGTCCAAATGAAGCTTGCTGCAGTTGAGTCATCTATTGCCTTGAGCCATAGGTCTTCCAGCTGAAGGCATTCTGGGCTTTCATCCAAAGACTCAGCATTGCCTCAAATCCTGCTGATGTGATTTTGGAGTGAAGGCAGACTGTGCATTTTTACTGGCAGTCACAAGAGCATACACTTCACTCAGAGCATAAACTATGCTTTGCAATTTGCTTTACATCTGTCATCATTACAGGCGATCCCTATGGAAGCCCAATTTTGGACCAGTTCTCTGTCTTATCCTGCCCCTTGTGTTTCAGATGGGATATGTGCATTCTTATCCATGCTATTGTCTTCCATCTCACAAAAAGGTGATTGTTTTGAAACATTTGGAAAATTGCTTCAGGGACTCGAGAAAAAGGTATTTTGGTGGTATCATGGACACTAGCCAGTTGATTGCTATGACAGCTGACTTTCCCTCTAAATGCTGGAAAATTCATAACAGGTTTCCTTTCAGTACTTTTCAGTACTTGCTCCAAGATATGAAAATGCATCTAGAACAACCCATGTTAGGAATGGGAAGTATGAAAACAGCTGTTCTGATTAGAAAAAACATTAATATACGTGGAAAGTAGGAAGATTCCACGCTGTTCATGCCATAATTTTCTTTCAGAGTTAAATGACAAATGATACACCAGAACTGAACATCAATATGACAGTGCAGCTGTGCGCTTCTTAATGGTTCATCTGGGGATAGGGTGAATGAGCATGAAAGGCCTACTGGGACTGTGGATGTCAAAGTAGTACAACTTATTGGCTCTCCCATCACACAGAGATCCTGTTGGCAAGAATGTCCATGGAGACAAGTGACAGGAACCCAAAAAACAAAGGACCATAGATTCATATTGCATCTGGAGCATGTGGGGAGAGCAAAATGTATATACATTATGGGTAGAAAGGCAGCTTTCTCTCACTGAGGTAGCGCATGGGCTTGCATATTGTCCTTGGATCACACTGCATAGCATCAAAGATATTCCAGTAAACATTATAACTTCATATACAGGGTGAGGCAGCATAACTTCCTTTTTAAAATGCACACCATCCAGTCGGTTGAAGACGTAGTGGAGCGCTTTTGGTCTCGTTTGAGAGGCGGGAGTATAAGGTTTTGTCCTGACACAGTTCAGTCACCATCATGTGTTGGAACAGTGAGGAGCGTGCTTTGACCATTGAGGCCTACTTTTCGAGCAGATTTGGAGTGGCCAGCCCGCTCTCCAGGTTTGACCCCTTGTGAATTTTTTTCTATGGGGTTTTTTGAAATCCCGTGTTTATGTGAACCGTCCAAGGACCCTACAAGATTTGAAGACCAACATCCAGGAAGAAATTGCCAACATAATGCCTGCTATGCTGGAAGAGTCATGACAAATGCTAAAAATCGTTTTACTCAGTGTATGGAGAATGGGGGACGTCACCTACCTAATTTGATCTTCAAAACTACGTAAAAAAATCTTTTGGTATGCCCCTACATTATTAAAAAAAATTCTGATTCATACAATGGGTTTTTATTAAGTTTTGAAAAAAGGAAGTTATGCTGCTTCACCCTGTACATAAAATCTTCAGACTGACTTCACGTGAGCAGAATGTTGTCCTCATTTTGAAGAAGACACTGCTCATTTCACATGCAAAGAGTACATGGTAATTTAATTAGAACTAGGAAGAAAAACAGGCTCGGTTATGGGATTAATAGTCAATGTTGGAGCCAGGGGTATCTACAACTTTAATGCTAGGACCCAAATATCAGGTTAGAATGTACAACTGTTTCAATCCAACAACAGTTAGGTTGACACTGATACAATACTGTGTTTTTCATACACAAAATGCACATATAAAATTGTGGATTCCAGCAAAACGCTGGCAACCAAAGCAACATTTTCCATTTAGTGCCCCAAGGTTGTCCTGCAGTACATGCTCATACCAAGTGTCATAACATGTAGGCATGCTCATTCTTTTCTACCCTGTAATATTTGAACAACTGCAAAATGCATTGGAGTGAACAAGATTCCTATTAGCCTTGAGATGTAGTGTTTCATTTGATGAGAAGCACATTCGGGTTTGCTGAGCATAACAAAAGGTCTCAGGCCAATATGCGCTATTCCATTTATGATTCAGTCCATACATTTGTGGGCCTCCTCGGAGGTAACAAGTGGGGCCACCGTTGTGCTAGCAATCAATGTCATGCGGCTTTGGCAAAAAAGTTTAGTCCTTCCGTGCTGAATGTTTGGATGAAGCAAGTTCTGTTAGCCGGGAAGGATGCATTGGAGAAAACAAACATGCAGTGCTTTTTAACTTCTTGCACAGGAGGATAAATAAAACCCACCAAAGCAAAGATGAGCTCACATTTTTGAAGCCAGAGCCACTTTTTCTTCAAGGTTTCACCTACTGCCTGAAAAAAGTCATGACACTCATATTAGTGGATGATATCAAGTTCTTAATGGGTCTACTGGATGGTCATGAACAACATGCTACAAAATCTTCATTGCTTTCTCAAGTGCAGGACACAAATCCCCCCATAATTTCCACACCGGATGTTTTTATTTCCGAGGAAATGTTGAAAGAAAAGCTGTAGTGTTCTATAAACCTCCACCAAAGGTTAACTTTTAGATTTCGGAGGGCCTGGAAAAAAGACTGTATTAATCACATAACTGCAGCAAAGTCCACTGTTTCTTTGCATGCAGCCCCATAGAATGGGCTGAAGCCCTAGAGATGATGGAATAGCTAGTTGATTCCACTCCACTCTTGTAAAAGAACTGCAAGGATGAGCAACAGATGTTGGACTGCATCTCCTATCAGCCTTTCTCAGTACAGTGGTTAGGAAAGATAGGAGATTTAATACAATATCATCTGGAGGGTCACATATCCACCAACACTCTTATAAAAGTTGTAGAATCCTCCAATCTGGATATGAATGTTTCTACAGATAATTGGGTCAGGCCATAATGGGTGTATGAAAGTTTCAAACACTTCCTCAAACACACAACTCAAAAATTAGTCAGAATATTTGTAACTTTCTGATCACAAACTAAACAAAATTGTTTATCTATAGAAGCAGGTCCACTCATTAACTTTAGCAAAAAAAAAAAAGTGGCAAAAAGGACAATATTACAGAGCTTGATAAAATTATGAAAGCACGGAAATATATCATGGAAAAAAACATAGGAGGGGACTGGGGAGAGCCCATATTAAAACACATAGCTTTGCATACAGTGCCACAGTATCATAGGAATAACTGCAAGTCTACCTCCTAGGTGCTGCCACTACTTCTCATTTCCCCTCTGCAATAAAAAAAGTAAGGCAATACAACAAAACTAAACAGCAGTAGGCATAAGGCAGGCAGAAGAAAGCATATGTTTGCACAATATGTAAGCACCTTAGGGAATTTATTTGTGGCAGGCACTAGATAGGAGGAACAGGTGGGATGAGTTCACAGAAGACCTATGCTATTCTGGCTATATGTCACAAGAAGAGTTTACCTTTTAGTAGCAAAACTCAGAGAAGGAGAGTTTTCTTTATGGGCTTGCAACAAGTTGGCCATTGTTTATTTTATTTACTTTGTCTTTATCCTGCCTTTCTCCCGATATAGAAGCTCAAAATGGCAATATAAAACACAACAATGAACAAGGCAGGCCTTTGGCGGTACTCTTGTGCTATTAGGACTCAACTGTATGTGTTGGTGGTTTCAACAACAACACAATCATGAACAGTAACCCTCATGCAATATTGTTTTTTCAAACTATTTAGCTAATCTATTTGTTCATTGATTTGGATGGATATGCAATTTACCTGCATGAGTCTTTCTTCTGATTAGATCAGAACCTGGAAACATTACATTTTTGGATATCAGTTGCAAGAATACCCACACTAGCAAGGACACTGCAGCCCCTTCCACACTGCCCCTATATCCCAGGATCTTATCCCACATTATCTGTTTATCCCACATTATCTGGCAGTGGAGACTCATATAATCCAGTTTAAAACAGATAATCTGGGATCATATCCTGGGATATGGGGCAGTGTAGACTTGATTGGTTGGGAAATCCAGGAAACTGTGAATCAGAAAACTCCATAATTATCAGCTCTAGGCTAGATGTGCAAACAAATGCAGAGCTCATCTCAGATTCCCAGTAGGCACAAAAGTATATCTTTTGATATATTTTTAATTACCTCCGCCCATAGCTTAGCTGTTCTATTCTATATGAATCACATCATTTAGTAAAATACCTGAAACGATGTCATTGATGGAATACATGCGTTTTTTGAAATGAACATGAACCAATTGATTCAAATGATAAGAAAATTAATTCTACATAAACATTAGGAAGAAGGTCTTGACTGAATGAGCTTTTTGACAATGGGATACACAGCTTTGGAGAATCATAGACTCACCTTCTTTTGAGATCTTTGAACAGAAATTGAATGGACGTGTTTGGGCAATATTTTAGTCATATATTCCTGTATGACAAGAGATTGAACTGGATGACCCTTGAGTTGCTGTCCAACTCTATGATTCTACATTTTTCCAAGAGCACTAAAAATAAATCCCACCATCCCACAGACCTCACAACCTCTGAGGATGCCTGCCACATATGTAGGCAAAACGTTAGGAGAGTATGCTTCTAGAACATGGTCATACAGCCCAAAAAACCTACCCAACCCCACCATTCTTTTGAAACTGTAATCTGGAGGGCTTTTATGGTACTTTAAAAATAATTGGTTAATAAATGTATTGTCAAAGGCTTTCATGGCCGGAATCACTGGGTTGTTGTAGGTTTTTCTGGGCTATATGGCCATGTTCTGGAGGCAATTTTTCTCCTGACGTTTCACCCGCATCTATGGCAAGCATCCTCAGAGGTAGTGAGGTCTGTTGGAAGTAGGAAAAATGGGTTTATATATTAATAAATGATTGTCAGATTGATAATAATGGAAGTATGCTGTTGACAGTACTTGTTGCTTGCTCCAGTTGCCAACAAATATTAAAATGTATTGGTCAGAGTTGACTTCCAACCTGTTGCAGGAGTTTGGCACACAAAAAAGATGTATCTGATTATGGAACAGCTAATTTTACACTTGCCAGTTTCCCATAATGAATAACTCATCACTTCCTGGAGAAGCAAGGCAAATTATTATTATTACCTTGGCTTTCCTTTCCTGTAAGTGCAGCACTTTGGGAAGCTTAGTAGATCTGTGTGGTCTGTGGTGTGGAGATTTTAAAATCAACATGCAGAACACACAAAGCAATGCAAGGAAGAGAATGGGAAAGGGGCTTTTTTTGTACATTGAGATAGGGCAAAGGTAAACTCTGCTTTCAGAGAATACATTTTAAAATTGAGAGCCATTTATGATGTTTCATTTATCCTCCAGCAGAAGGTACAAGAAAAGGTCAATACTGTGAATAAAATTGCAATTTTGGAAAAACCCCAGAAACACCATGGATTTACAAGCAGATGCTGATAAAAGTTTTTCTGAATTCCAATGCTGTGTTTTGGGTTATGCAAGTGACTTCTAAGTGAACCGCTATGCATCAAAATTGTAATGCCCAATGGCATAAAGAGATTATTTGGAAACTACTGAAAACACAACTCGCAGCCTCATAACCAAGATAGTGGGAGCAGGGGCTTGTTCAGATGTTACACCTGAGAGGGAAGCAAGACAGGAGAACAGAGATCTCAAGAATAAAAAAAATGTTGGTTATTTTCCTAAAGAACATGCAAGGGTATTGGGATGCTTTTCTTGAGTTATTTGATTACAACCATTATTTTGGTTTAATAACTTGGCTCCTTGCTCAGAAAAGCAACACGGCCCCTTGTCTCCTGACAGCTTTTTTGCCAGGTCATATTTCGCTTTTATGTCTTTCTGTCCTGTCCTTTATTTTCCTGCTAAATGAAATAAAGAATGTCTAGATTTTGAAAATTACAAAGAAGGGTACAATGTGAAGAAGCATTTTAGTAATTTCACTTATGAAGCCCAGTAGTCAATGGTAAATTTGGGCCGAGATCTATCCAGACTAATTTTTAATTCCCTATTGCTGGACATATAGGGAACCGAGGTGGAGACAGATGGAACACGGGCTCCCAAGGATAATACAGTGCAGACACACATGAAGAAAATGGCCACTTTCCTCCCAATATCAATGAGAACTATGCTACTCAAGTTAGTACCCAAAGAACAATCACTCCCCATTCCATTTCTCAGCCTTCATATCTCATTCCAAACTTAAACTGGTCAAAGATGGTGTAGCTAAACTGTTGAGTGGATCTGACAACAGGAAACATGCAATTTCCCTTTTCCAACAGCTTTGCTGCCATTCATGTCTGATTCTATCACAAAGGAAAGATGGAGCCTTGGAGTCCATTAAAACAGCTGATGAAAGGAGGCATTCCACCAGGCAAGCTTTCCACATTGATTTTGGGCTTTTTCACAACTTGCAGGTATAGCATTACATTCCACTTTTGCTGCCATAGTAACTTCTAACCAAGTTTAGAGAATGGTCTTTATAATTCTTCCAGAGAGCTCTAGTGCCTTAGGTAAAGGTAAAGGTTTCCCCTGACATTAAGTCTAGTTGTGTCTGACTGGGCGTTGGTGCTCATCTCCATTTCTAAGCTGAAGAGCTGGCATTGTCCGTAGACACCTCCAAGGTAATGTGGTCGGCGTGACTGCATGGAGTGCCGTTACCTTCCCATAGAACCTATTGATCTACTCACATTTGCATGTTTTTGAACTGCTTGGTTGGCAGAAGCTGGGGCTAACAGGAGGAGCTCAACCACTCCTTAGATTCGACCCACCAACCTTTTAGACAACAAGTTCCTTTAGTAAATTAAAACCCCAAGAATGAGCCGTGGCAATTAAAATGCAGGGTAGTGCTCCAATTGTGAAAGGGTCCTTACATGAAACATGTGAAGGGGAAGCAAACCCAATAAGTTTAGAAATGAATGCAAACAAGTTCCTTCCACAGATAATGTATATCATTAGGTCTGTGCACATAGAAATAGGCTTCAAGTTCCACTGGGCATTGACTAAATATGCGTGTAGGCTTCAATATAAATGTTTTTGCTCAAGGCAGTCTGATTCACAAAGTGCCATACTGTTGTGAACTGTAACTATTATGCAAAATCCGTGCCACTTGCTCCTCACCATAGTTCCTCTACAACAATTCTCTTTTGTTGTTGCACAATGCTTCAATTCTAAACTGTGGAATCCTAAATAATATTGTAAATTTCTAACAGGATACTAATGCATTCTGTTTTGATGTCATCAGATCTATCTGGCAACCTGTCATGTATGCAGTGGCCCCAAACCCAAAATCCAACACAGCCAGTAGCTGTGAATTTTGAAATATTTGTTATTTCTGTTATGTGTCTGTGATGAAAAATTCGACAGGCCAAGTAG